TCCCTAGAGCCCTTAGCTTGTCCTGTGCCCTTCCATCCAAATATGGTCACTACTCCAAGCCCTCCTCTCTCCCAGTTTACATAGTTGGAACCTTGGTGGCCATCTTGGGCTCTAGAGAGGCTCCCAATTCTGTTATCCCAAAGACAAAGTCTTTCTATGGAATGCAAAGGCCTTTCTCTGGAATATTCCCACTGCTCAGAACAGCATTTCTTTATGTTCCTGGAAGATGAGCTGTTGTATTACTGACAACGATTTGGAGCGGCTGTTCCAGGCCTGGGTTCAAAGATATGAAAGAACTAGATACACTCAGGGAGATGTAAGCATTCAGTAAATGGAGTGGGACATGAGTGGTGACATGGATGTATGGGACAGGGCACATAGAGCTCAGATCTCAGAGAGAACCATTGGCTGGTCCCTGTAAATTGTGGTGAGCCTACGATGGGTGTCAGAGACAGAAGGGCATGAACAGCAGAGAGGATAGAAAGATCCCCCTGATGGCAGTGTCACAGTGTATTCGGTATTCAGAAGAGCTGAAACAGTGCAAAATTTAGACTCCACTGTGGGAAGTGGGAGAGGAACATTGATGATCGGTGAACTATCAAGGAGACAGAGTTGAATGACTTGTTCACTAATCAGATATGAATGGTGAAGAAAGCTATGACCACAGGATAAATGTCAGGCTTTTATTGTGTGAGATTTTATGTTTGGTGTTGCCAATTCTCCAATGAGGACATCAGGATAAGAAGAAAGTGTGAGAAGTGTGATGAATAGACGGAAAGAGGAGTCTGTAAAGAAGGCTATGGAGATAAAGAGGTTGAAAAATCATCAGAAAAGTATCATGTTGGGGCCGACAGGTGGCGTAGTGGTTAAGAATACTGGACTCCCACATGGCCAACTGTGGTTCAAGTCCCAGACCTGGTGGCTTGCTTTCTCACTTTTCCTCTCTCTCTCTTATTCTATCCCTCTCTGGTCAAATTTAAATAAACAAATAAATAAATAAGAATAAGTAAAGCTAGATTAAAAATTCTTTTAAAAAGTATCATGTTATAGAAACTTAGGGTGGGAGGATTTTGGACTGTGAAGGACTATCAACAGTAAACAAATATTCGTAAGAATTCTAAAGACAGAAAGATAATATGTGTGACAGAAGGCATCTGAATTCAGTAACGTTTTTGCTAAATCGTAGCATAATGTGTAAAAGTTCTTTCTTCTATCATACCCCACATTTATCCGAGTCAGTGATTTGAAGTTTTGAGGTTTAACTTAGGAACCATGATATTCACAGACAGGAACAAGCTCTGACTCCCCCAAGTCATAGCCCAGATGGGCAAATGTGATACATAAACCAAGCTAGTCACTTCATTGACAAACCTCATTGACTGAATATGTGAAGCCTTTTAATTTAATTTAAGTTTTATGTTAGAGAGATGTTTGCTATAGGGTGTGTGTGTTTGCCAGAGACAGAGATAGAAAGCAAGAAATCACACCCCAGGGAGGATGGCCACACTGCAATCTCTTCTCCTCCATTCTCTTCTCAGGACCTTGGGCACACACGCACAAGCAACCCAGCATGAGTTTCAAGCCGCCAGGTCCAGGACTCGAACCCCAGTCAACCATGTAGGAGTCCAGCGACATAATAATTACACCATCTGCTGGTCCCAGCCTTTTTCTTTTCTTTATCATTATTAACCTTATGATCTTCACTTTCTCTTTTCCATCTTTGAACAGAATCTGGGGAGAAATAATAACTTTCTGACCATTGTCAGGTAATAAATTTAGTCTAGGAGATGTTAAAGCTTCAAGAGTATACCTGGTTTAGAACTTCCTCACCTCCCTCCTATTAGGCAGACTTGCACAGTATCTCTGGGGACACCTTCACCCTCTACTTCCCTTGGGGGCACAGATTAACTTATAAACTGGTAGCCTGTGTCTGGTGTGAGGACCTCTCTGATCTCAGTTTACTTTGTCATGATCTCATCAGTGCCAGTAGCTTTGGCTAAGATGTGGTGGTTCTCTGTGCCAGTGTCACTTTCTTTTAGTCTCTTGCTCCTTAAGGAGGAGTGGCATCACCCACCCCAGAGGTTTATTCCTTCTCCAGATTCCTCCTCTGTGACTCCCTGCGGAGTCAGACAGCTTCCTGCAGTAACCTCTGCCCTCTTTCACTGCAGACACATGAAGTACTGGAATATTCTCTCACATGCTTCCGGGCTGCAGGAATTATAATGCAGACGTGCTTATTCAGGTTTTCTCAGGCATGCAACAGCACACACAGTCTCTTTGAGGGCTTTAGATAATGCATTTCTTCCACCTTCAGAAATCTCTGATCAAATACAGCTCTCAGTCTCAGTGTCTAGCCCTCTTCTAACTCCAGTGGCCTCATGTTGAACCTCAGCTTCATAGACCAGACCAGAAAAACCTTCAGATTTGCAGCTCAGTGAGATAGAATTATCAATAATAGTCTTTTTTTTTTCTTAGGTGGATTCTGAGTGATTTTCTTGGGCAAGTTCCCATTTAGCTATTTGTACCTCTCTTCAGGTGGAAAGTAGAGACTGAGTTTAATGTTAAAGAAATGGCTATATCCTTAAGTTAATTTGGGCAAGGAATATATCCCTAACTGTTGATGAACCTCTTTAGCGCATGGGCACTTGCACTTTTTCTTCCTCAGTTTTGGGTGTTTGAAAAAAAAAATCTGACAATTATAGAATACTGCACTCAGTAACCTGTTAAATAAGTTATAAAATAGCATTTTTCTATGTCTCTACTTTTTTATAAACCCTCTTTCCAGTAATGGCTAACTTCAGTGGGCCTGCAATTGGCCTGAATTGTTTGCTCACTGGAATTATCTATTATTGGACTGAGGAGTTTTTAAAAAAATTTTATGAGGGTTTAGTGCTCTGTGACCTAAAATTCTAACAGCTACTCTTGTTAAATATAACTAGTATTAACAACTTAGCTACGCTAATGTGTGTATGTTACCTAAAGCTTAATAATGCTTTTCCATAGTACGTTATAAGGTTGATTGATAAGCTGGTCTAAACACATCTTACTCCTAAGGACATAATTTACTGGGAGGTCAAGTGTCAGTTGGATATGGGTTTGCAGAAGAAGCTGTTTGGATCTAGGGGAAGTGATACTTCTTGACTGACTCTGTGGGACTATCATGAAGGTTTGAGCTAGGATGCAAGACAATTCCTGAGTCATCCTACATGGAGCTATTAATTTGGAGAAAAACATCCTACTTTAATAACTTGAAATGTTTTTCTTCTTATGAATGAACATCTGTTTTACTGAGAAACTGCTGAGAGTGGCCCTTTATAATTTTGGTCACTTACACTCGAGCTTGGAGCATTATGCATTCAATATTTTTACTGCTAACTCTGAATTCAGCATATTCCCTGGCTAGAAACTGTCTGGCACTTTGTCCTGTGGGAATTCCTCATATTTTAAGTAAACACCGAGTGTTAATGCATAGCAACTCTCCTTTCACCATGTTGAGATTTTTAACGCTTTACTAGCAATAAAAATTAAATCAGGTGAGAAACACAGCAATAACTTTAAAACTTACATTTTAAGAACTCAAGACATACTTAAAGATTTTTTTTAATGTGTTTTTTTAATAACAAAGATATTTTGCTGTTTTGCGGTTTTAAAGAAGAAGACGAAGAGCATGTGACATAACTGGTATACTCAAGTAATGGTTCTGTTAAATTTCTAAAACAAGTTTAAAGAAACATAAGATCTCCATAATAATATGAATGACTATTTCTAAAAAGAATGAGTTAAAACGTTTTTATAAACCATCCCTTTTTATAAATTGTCTAAATGATGATATGAAACAAAACATTTGTAGAAACACAAATGATAATCTAATTAATCTTCTTAATTGAAATCACATAATTTATATTATATGCCAATTAAAAAGTAAATGTAACTACTGTGAGACTGGCCATTTTAGAAACTAATACAGGTGATAAAAATAATGACCATAATAAATTACTACTGGTCAATGAGTTACCCATAAATACACACACACATACATGTATGACATATGCTATATGCAACATGAATTTTTAAAATAACTTTGCCTTACTAGAAAAGAAACGCTTTAAATTTTCACAGGTTTGGGACATGAATGAAAAAGAAAAGCTAGAGAGGAAAAAGCCCCCAGTGAAGAAGGAGAGGAAGGAGAAAAGGGAGAAAGGAACTATATCTCAGATAAATAAAATGTGATAAATTGGTGCTTCCTAGGGGGAAAAAATGTGATAGAAAACTAATCCATATTGGCAACTAGAGATTTGACTTATTCCTTCATGTGATGACTATATTAAGCCATCTATGGTAAGAATTTATTAATAGATAAAAATAGAGCATTGGAGAGTAGTGAACTGGGTTCAGATCCTGAACCCCAAAATTAAAGCTCCCTGAGCCTATCAGTGAAGTCTTGGAAAAATACAAATAATAGTAGGTTTTTCAGCAGAGAGAACTTGTTCTACTGTATTGAAGGACTGCAAAAGGGCATAATAGGATAGCATGAAGATTAATAAGGGCAGAAAGTAGGGATCTTCCCTAAGGCTCGGCAATGAAGGCCAGAGATTGGGGTTATCAGAACCACAAGGCTTAAACCAGGGCTTCTGCAGAGCTGGCACTCACATTTCTGAGGAGTGGCTTATGCTGACACTTCAGGAGTTCAGAAGAGAGGCCTTGAAGAACTCTGATCAGACCCGTGAGGCCGGGGCACTGCCTGGGTGGCTGGGGCTGATGACTCAGAAGCCCAGGCAGGGAGAACCACAGTCAGGCCTCAGACAGTTGAGGAGAGGGAATTGCCTCCTAGCTGGGCCCACCTGAGGAGAGCAGGAAAACTGCTTCTCGAAATACAGAAGGAAACCAGAGACTGGAACCATGAGTTGCTATTGCTGTAGAGGAAGGTGGCCGGCATGGAGTGACACTGACAGTCACAGCCATGGAACAAGAAGGATAAGAATCCCTGTCTCCCTTCCTCCCACAGGCCCTCTAAGGTCCTTAATTGGTAGAATCTTGTGGAAAGTCAGCTAGCAAAGAAACATAGTTTGTAGAGCCTAGTCCCAGTAGAAAGAAAAGAAAGAAAAAATAGACTTGGACTTAAAGAGCAGAAGGAAAAAATAGACTTGGACTTAAAGAGCAGTAGCTTTGCAACTGACACAGTGATGTTTCAGTAGAAAAATCTTTTTCACCATCAGCTTTGCTCAGCAAATTCACCTCGTCAGATATTACCATGCATTGGTTTTGTAATAATCCATCAACAAATAATTAGTATCTGGTGTTTATGGAAAGCAAATTAATACATTAGTATAATTTTCTACTAATTTTTTTTTAATTTTTCTGTTTTAAGAGGTTTTTGCCTTAGGGCACTTGTACTTACCAGAGTGAGAGACAGAGAAGGAAAGTGAGAAATCACCCTCTGGAGGAGATGGCCATGCCACAGTCCCTTCTCTCCCATTCTCTTCCTGGGATCTTGGGTACACATGCCTACATGCCAGGTATGATTTTTAAACCACCAGGTCCAGGACTCAAACTGTGGCCACCCATGTGGGAGTCCAGCACTATAACCACTATACCATCTGCTAGCCCCTCAACTCACTGTTAAAAGTTGTTTTTGTTTTTTTTTAAGAGAGATTTTTGCTATAGGTTGTGTGTGCTCTCCAGAGAGACAGAGAGACAGAAAGTGAGAAATCACCTCCCGGGGGGGTATGGCCATGCTGCAGTCCCTTCTCCTCCACTCTCCTCTTGGGATTTTGGGCACACACACATGCATGAATTTTAAGTTGCCAGGTCTGAGACTCAAATCACGACTGGCTGTGTGGGATTTAAGCCACGTAACCATTACACCATCTGCTGGTCCCAAATGTCTTGATTCAAATATAGTCCAAGAATTGTTTAAGTGACATCATCTGCTCAATTGATTACCCAAATATAGCAATCTAGTTGTAAATCTGGCATTAATTTTGATAAATTATTGCATTTATCAAAACCTTAAATACTAATTAATAAGATAAATCTTCCATCTTAGGGCTGTAAAAATGAATCATCAGATGTTTATTGTTATTACCTACTGCACAAACACCTGCTTTGGTATTTATTCAAAAAGAAGTATTCTGTATTCCAAATCTGTCCAATGGTAAATTCAATTTTCTTTATACCCTGTCTGATGGTGAAATGTGATGCAGTGAATTGATTAGGCATAGAAGAATTTGATTCTAGGATTCAAAGGCTAGCTCTTCCCATTGCCTAAGTCTTTCCTGCTCCTGTGATTTTCTTTATTCCTGGTTTACCTTTTTTTTTTTTTTGGAGAGGTTTTTTACTATAGGGCGCGAGTGCTCGCTAGACAGACAGAGAGAGACAGAGAGAAAGCGAGAAATCACCACCCCCCAGGGGGGATGGCCATACCACAATCCCTTCTCCTCCATTCTCCTCTCGGGATCTTGGGCACGCATTCACATGTACCTGGCGTGAGTTTAAGCCACCGGGTCTGGGACTCGAACCGTGGTCGACTACGTGGGAGTCCAGCGACATAGCCATTACGCTAACTGCTGGTCTCCCTGGTTCACCTTTTTAGCACCTGTACAACTGCATTAATTTTATGGTTCCATTTGAATCACCATTTGTCAGTCAGTGTATATAGCCAGACACACAGCACATCCCACAGTGGGGATGACAGGAAGTTTGAGGAACACAGTATAAAATTAATGTAAGCAGAAGAGCCTAGTTATTCCCAAGGGTCCATGAATCTACTTCCTACTGGATAGATGCTCTCAAGTTTTCGTCTTTTTTTCCAATAGTTCTGTCTTTGGAAATCGCTTCTGCCAGGATTGATAGTTTCTGAACCAAGTCTAGGAAATAAATAATCCAACATCCAGGTAAAGAGAATGAAGAAAGATGTGAGTGGTTCTTCAAAGCTGTCCTTTCTTATTCTGATATACTTCTTCACTCTACAAAAATAAATAATTCTACTGTCTCAATAAATCTGGCTCATGAATAGGAAAATAAGAATAACAACTCTAAAGGTAGAAACTGAAGGTAAGGAAAAGGAAAGAGTTCAAGTGGGTGAACCAATCTTACTTATCATGAACACATCGAATAGTCAAGTTAGAGTGTTGCAATAACATTGTAGATCAAAAGTAGTATTTTTATGTATAGAGCTGTCTTTGGAGCAAATTACCATGTCCTAAAGCAAGTACTGTCCAGATCAAAGCAGGTCCCCAACCCTTACAGGGGTCTTTCAGGTAGGTAGACAATTTCCTGTAATAAGAAACAATAGAACTAAAGAGAGCCCAAATACCGTAAACAGAGTATCAGTGAGTGGAAAATCATGCAGGAAACTCCTGGGTCCTTACTCTGGGTGCAAGACAGGTGCTAGAGATGTAAAAAACATGTGACTCTCAGTCGTTCGATAGACAGGCCTTGATTTGAAGTAAATGTTCAATGGCATATCAGTCTATCACCAGAATTTCAAAACCTGGAAAAAACATATTTCAAAGGCCAGTCCCTTAGAACATAATATTCTTTATTGTCTGTGCCCTATTTAGCAGTCAAAATGAGCACTTTCTGGTGAATTGTCTAGCTAATTTAGGATGGAAAGTCCTACAGGGTGGAAGTTCAAGAATTAATGGATGCTTGTGTTCTTCCAGCTGGTTCTGATAAGAGCAGTAAAATCAGACATCACATTCTTTTTTAAATTTTTGTTGTTGTTGTAGGACATGTGTGCTCACCAGAGAGACAGTAAGAAGTGAGAAATCCCCCCTGGGGGGGGATGGCCACACCACAATCCCTTCTCCCCCATTCTTCTCCTGGCATCTTGGGCGCACACACATGTACCTGGCATGAATTTCAAGCCACCTGGTCCAGGACTTGAATTGTAATGGCCCATGTGGGAGTCCAGCACCTTAACCACTATGCTACCATCATATTCTTTACAACTGATTATAATTCAGTTCCTTACATCTCGGGCCTGCATTTCATTTACTACAGTGATGATTTTTGAGTATAGCCCCCTTCACATCTTTTTCAAAGAGTAATAACTGAAATGATAAGTTATTATTAAGTTATTGATGGGACTGGTTTCAGAGGCCCAAATTCAAGCTTCAGAACATTATTTTAGTTGTGAATATTTATTTTTAAATAGTCATAGAGCTAGCTCCCTACATCTAGTTTTTGCTTTCCACCCTCTGAAGCCTGCAGAGTACAAAGCAAGCATTTATAAAAGAGACTGTGGCGTGGCATTAACTCCGTATATCTTATTCCTCAGCATATGTGATTAAGACAGAGTGGGCAAAGGGGTTAATAGATACAATAGAACCATGCCTTTGCATCGTCACCCAATAGCATAATGCCAGTTGGTTAATCTTGGGCCAGTCATGTAGCTTCTGCAAACTAGGTTCCTTGGACAAAGCTATACAGTTTTTATCTGAAAATATAAATATGACCCTGATGTATTAGTTTGCTAGAACTGCCATCACGAAATAACACAGACTATGTGGCTTAAACAACAGACATTTATTTTAGCATAATTCTGGAGACTTAAACTCAGAGATCAATGTATTGGCAGCATTGATTCCTTTTAAAATGGATCTCCTGGGCTTATAAATGGACCTCCTCTTCCATTGTCTTTTTTTCATCTATCACCCCCTTCTTTTACAATTTCTCACTTATATTCAATCATATATTTTTTTTTTTGAGAGATTTTCACTGTAGGGCACGTGCGCTCGCCAGACAGACAGAGAGAGAGAGACATAGAGACAGAAAGCGAGAAATCACCCCCCAGGGGGGATGGTCACGCCGCAATCCCTTCTCCTCCATTCTCCTCTCGGGATCTTGGGCACGCACGCACACGCGCCCGGCGTGAGTTTTAAGCCACCGGGTCCGGGATGCAAACCGCGGTCGACTACGTGGGAGTCCAGCGACATAGCCATTACGCTAACTGCTGGTTCCCTTCAATCATATATTTTCATAGGAAAGAGCCAGTCAAAGTTAGCAGGGGGAAATGTCATTGACTTTAGTGACACTAATGGTAATGAGTCCTGATAACGCACTACCTTTGGACCAGCCCACATGCCTTCTCTGTGTGTGTATCAGAGTTCTAACCTTCTCGTTTTACAGGGATATCAGTCATTTTGGATTGGGGCCTCCTCCAGTTATCTTACTTGTCTCTGATTTCCTCCTTAAAGAACCTGCATCATATAGATGCATTCTGAGATAATGAGGGTTAGGGTTTCAGCATGTAATTTGGGAAGAAGGTGGACACAGTTCAGCTTACCACTGACCATTAGTGCCTTGATGGATGAATGTCAAGACCAAAATTGTAGAAGAGCAAGTTTTGTTGTTATTTTGTCCTTGAGCTATAGGAAAGGTGGTCATGAGAAACTAGACAGAAAGAAAGGATAAGGTGAAAGAGAGAAGGAAAAAAAAAGGAGTGAGATACCTTACCTTCACTTTATTCCGGCTAAATTAGAAGTCTCCCAACTATGTGAAGCTTCTATGGTCTGTCCTCTCTGTATTCAGAGGGATTTCTGTATTCTTTTTCTTTATTAAAGGTCTTGATATACTGAGCCAGCTCTGGGGCAAAGCAGTAAAGCACTACTCAAGAGAAACCAGGTCTCACCTAGTGTCTACAGTTCAAATCCTTGATCCAGTCAGCCTGAAACAAACCAAGGATGCAAGTGAGTGCTCAGTAACTGATAGGAGGAAGGATTGGAGGAAGGGAATCATGGTGAGAATAGACCCTGAAGGGTACCTGACTTTCTCTTTTTCTCTCTCTAGGGCTAGTGTTAGGGTTTAAATAAACAGCTTGATATATCAATCAGAATATCAGAGTATAAAATTCCCATCGGGAAATTTCCTTCTAAAGCCTTTTGTAAACTGTGAAATAAACTTACATATTTGGCAAGTATATACAACTATTTAAATGTAAGGTCACAAAAGCTCATCACTATTCCAACACTGACACAATAATCCTAAAGGATTTTAGATGAGACTTGTCATACTATTAATGCCTGTAAGTAGCACCCTAAAAGGTATACAATTTTTCTGTGCAATTAAGCTCTATGCTAAAAGGTGTTAATCTCATTTTTTTTTATCCTGAAGGAAAAGAAAGACGTGATCAAAATCTTGAGAAGTAGAAATATTGTGATCATAAGGCTATGAATCAACTAAGTCAAGTAACCAAAGTTTTAATAGAGAAAAACATAATGAATAAATAATTTCATGAATGGTGCTATTTATTATAAGCAGGAATCAACAAATCAACAAATGTCTTGCAATATGCTCTTCTTCAGGTGGTAATTAAGGTGCATACTCCCTTCTTCAATAGGTGCAAGTGACTCTATCTACATATTTCTTGTTGGAGAACAGTCTCTGAAATGTTGACTTCCCCCCACCCCCATGGTGGAGAACAGTGGCCTATTCAACGACTTCTCTTTTTCTCTGACTTTCTGCTAGACAGTTTTTAGGCCCTGATAACATGAGAGACCTGTAAGCCTCCATTCATCCTTGAGAAATATCTCTGTACCACTGTAGCTGTAAGACACTTTCTGCAGCTGTGTAACAAAGACGGCAAGGCTTCAACCCTTGCAATACTCTCAGTATTTTCAACCCCTTGAAGGAAAACAGTGTATTTTACATACACAGACAAACCAATCATTCTAATTACATACTTACAACTTTATTAACTAAATACAGTATACATGAAAACAAAGTTGAAAGCTTCTCAACCATTTTAATTGATAACTCTCAAGATGCACGGGGCTATACTGATGCCATACAATGAATTTTTGTATGGGGCCATTCTAACAGAGCATCTTTTATATGATAGGGAGGAGAATTTAAATGAAGATTTTTAACGTTTTCAAATATTTTTGCCTCTCTTTTAAATCTTGGCTCTTCTAGCTTGTTTCAAATGTTCACACTTGCTTGGATTCTGATTTAAAAGGCCATGACACATATATATGTTGAAAACAATTAACCTCCATCTCCAGTTTCACATTCTGATGCCAATCATTTTTTTGAGAAATTGTACTTTTAGAGGCAATGAAATGGAATGGTTTTATGCTAATTATTTAAGTATTTTTAAAATCAGTAATACATACAAAGTAGACTTAAGTCAATTCTCTTTTGCATCTAAGTAGAAACTTTTTTTAAGAATTATTTTATTTACTTATTTTTTAATTTACTATAGGGCACGTATACTCACAAAAAAGAGATATCAAGTTGATATCAAGCTGCCAGGTCCAGGGTTCAAACCACGGTTGTCCATGTGGGATTCCAGTATCCTTAACCACTATGCCATGTGCTGGCCCCAGTAACAACTTTTTAAAGCTTCACCTTTGTTTTTGTGATTTTCTACCTCAGTGGAAAAGTTTTTATAACTCCACTTTCTATCTACTTAGTAGCTCTTTGTGTCCAGAACTAAATTCATTTTTACTTCAGCAAGTAGTATTTTGGTATATTCATTTTTCTCAGATAGGAAATGAGCAACACAATGATGATTCTTCTTGTGTTTTTCCTAAAATATGCTTTAAGCTAAATAGGAGCAGTTCTTTCTCATGTCATCATAACAGTTATTTATATGCATTAGCTCAATCCATTTCCAGAAATTTAGGGGTGGAAATAGTTAACCTTTATCCCTTACAGTGCAGAGAGACAGTGGAGATCAATGTCAGCTATAAATACTGCATTTAGAGTTGTATTGTTTGCTGCTTGAGAAAGAACGTGCAGCCACCATGCCTTGTCATTGGCTAGTTGTGTGACATTGTGTCACCTAAGAGGAAGAGGTCTTAGATAAGTACCTCATCAGAAATTTAACATGGGCAATTGCTCTGGTAATAACATCTAACAGAAAATGCAGGAATGTTCTTAACATTGTTTAAAACAGTATAAAATACATTTATTTGCTATATGACATTATTTTCTTAAGATTCATTTCTAGAAGTGGAATTGCTAAGCCAAGATGCACATTGAATGATTCTGACACATATTTTTGAGGGATCTTTCAGAAAACATCATTTTTATAGGAAAAAATAAATGGTTATCTTTTGTTGCTGTACGTATAGATATTTCATTTATTTTTTTTCATTTTTCTCATTTTCTTTCATTGGCATGTACTGTTTGCATAACAACAAAAAACAAAGGAGGATTCTATTTTTGGAACATTATGTCAGCTGTCATGGAAATCTATTTTAATATGCAACCTATCTTGAAAGTATTGTTTTAATTCTTTAATCGTTCCCTATAAGTAAAACCATAATCCAAGATGATTAAGGAAATTGAATTCTCATTTAATTGTTGCTAAAGACACTCAGAGATAAATAAAATATTTAAATAGAGATCTCTTTTACATTCCAAAAGACATGGTAAGTCACTCCATCACTATTCTTTAGTGCACATAACATCTGCACTGTGCATGCGTTATATTTCTTGTCTCTATGTTAATGACCTGGTAGAAACATGTTGCTTTCTTACTTGAAAATGAGCTGTATGCATTTGAGTAACAGGAGTGAATTTTTTTTTTTATATGAGTCAGTTTTCTTTTTGGTGACTACATTATGTAAGGACGTCTGAATGTTATTTTTTGTTTGCTGTATGTACCTTGGAAGGTATACCTGTGAAACATCTGGTTAGATTTCCTGTAAAAATGAAAGATGGACATATGTAAGCAAATCTATTTTTTGGCACTCTAAATTTTGATGAGAAATAAGAATCCCGACTTTATTTTTCTCAAGTGTTTAACAACTACTACCAAAAAAAGTCTCTTTATGGTTAATCTAATTACTTGGAGTTTCTTCTTATTCTAATCTCAGACCACACAATGACAATGACAACAACTTTTAGTCCAATAGTTTAATGAGGAAAATTACAGGGATTATAAATAGAAATGGATTCAGAAAAAGGTTAGTGAGACTTAGAGAAGGACCGATATCAGCCATAGAGGTTGATTTAAGAGAAAGTTCTTAATAGCATTAAAATATACATATAATTATTAGACTCGGTTAATGAACAAGATGTTATTCTAAGCTGGTGAAGACCAAAAAAGAGAAATCAAATTCAACTAATGTATATAAAATGTCAAAAATTAAAATGAATTTAAAATACATGATTGCTTAATTCTCCCATCTGATATCAATATAATATTTTATAGTCAAATATATTCTAAGCTGCATTTGTTGGCACAGATATGTTTTGATGCTGAAGCATTTATCAATAACCACTTAGCAATAATTTTTTGTGTGGAAACATTCCCTTTTCTAACTCTCTTAATAATATAAACTTACCATTTTATGTGGACAATCAACTTCCAAAACATTAATGATGTAGTGTTGAAGGAAATTCTTAAATGGCATGTCCTAATTCTTAAATTATCTAAGGAGGAAAATATCCAAGATGCCTGATATTTCTGTATTACAGGAAACATGGCCGTTTTGTAAATGCTGTGATTTTACTGTTTACCAAGTCCTTACAACATCAGTTCAAAAATAATACACAAAACACTATAAATTCCCTTAAGATATTTTTTCATCCATTTACTTCCTGCCTTCTGAATACAAATCTTGCTGAAAAGTAGATCTGTCTTATTAACCTGTTCATTCTTAACTCACCTGCTGTAGTAGAGGCCGAGTTTACCTTTGAATTGAATATTTATTCAAACCTTTCAGACCCACTGACACAAAGAAACTGGCAAACTAGAAACATCATTTGTTATATCATTTTATTTCTCTCTCTTGGCAACCAATTCTCACGGAACTTTGGTGCTGTTCCTTTAAAAGAACCAGGTTTAAGAAAGTAGAAAGGTCAATGGAAATAGTAAATGTGAATTCTGTTGATTACTATTCTTCAGACTACTGATGCAAACTGCTGTGAATAATGTTATTGTAACCCGCACATTAGGGGGAGCAAAGAGATGTTTGACAGATTTTTAATTAATGATCCCTATCAATGCTGCTTGGTTTCTCCTACTCCACCTCCCCCCTAGTTTCATCGCGGGCTGGAAATTTTTACTTAGCATAGTAAAACAAAGTTATTGATGCAAGTATTAGATACCTCAGGTGTGTTATTGATGGGATTAGAGTGAGACAGACTGGGGATAAGGTGGAAAACTACTATAATGAAGAAAAATGTTTCCTAAGGTACCTCAAAATAATGTCTACTTGTATTGAGAGATTCCACTGTGCTGGCTGTTTGTTAAGAACTGGATTATTTACTCCTTACAACAATCACGTAAGACAAGTAAAATTTTTCTATTGATATTTTACAGATGAGACAAATGGGACATTAAAAAGGGTAAATAATTGCCTTGCGTCACTGTTTTGGGGTACAAGAGCATTGCCAAGTTATACCTAGCACTTCTATCCCCCAAAGTCTGCCACACTCACCAGAGCTGAATTTATTTTTTAGGCTCATCATTATGTTTTTTTTCCCCTTTTAATATTAGCATCATATGAACTGAACATTTTAGATGCTGATGCTTTAATGTCTTTTCTTTCTTTAAAGTCTGTAGTATCAGAATCACATATGTCTCTATACTCTTAGAACCATAAAAATGACAATGATTTTGAAAATAATAGTAGAATTCTACATTTCACATCGTACTTTCCCACGGCGACATTTATAATGATTCTGCACTGTTGTCCATTATTTTTTGCTGC